TGTTTACTTTAGAGATACAAAACAGTAAGGAAATATGTTCGGAGCTCTTTCAGTCAACTTAAAATAAGAATTTGATAAAAAATATTCTAAATATATTCTGTCCTTTAAATAAATTAGGAAAATTGGATACTTTATTGAATAGGGAATTTTATTCTTACCTTCGGACAAAATCGCGCATTTTATTATAACATACAAAATATAAGAACCGTCTTGTTCTCATCGCCAGCTCCTCAAGTACGGGACGGGATTCTTCGTAATGTTACTCTCAGTAACAGCAGTCTTTCTACATTTAATTCAACTGGGTCTATCCTATCCTATCCAAATGACAAGCTTTTCCTTATATTGCCTTCTCTATGATAGATAAGAAAATATAAAAGGAAGATTACCAATCTACTCCAAACTCGATTAATCGGTCCAGCCGAATTCACAGAGCATTATCTCTGTCCAAAAGGTTTCGCTTCGCACAGTGAATAACATGAAACACAGGGTTGACTCATCTACTTATGCCACTATAATAATTACCTTTATAACTAGGCTTTCGAGATTACCAGTAGATCATGCATACGAGGTGTATTCATCCTATTTATTTTAAGGTGATAAGGGACTGGCAGTTGAATTTTCCAACAAGGATATGAGTGGGCCTTAAGTTTCCATTACATTTCACATAGCATTGCTTTCCCAAACAGTATTTTCATCCAGGGTGGACTGCAGTTTTGACCTCGCCTAAGTCTCATCAGTACACCCAGCGAGACTAGAACCGTGTTAGTGCATTTAATAGCATCATGGGACAATTCAACTACCAGTTCCCTTATCACATTTAACGAAGTAGGGTGAATAAACCTTATATATATATATATATATAATCTTCACCAACTGACCCAAAATCATATCAACCTTCTGTCATGACACTCACACTAATCATCTTAACATATCACCAATAGAAGGAGAGCTCTTAGTCAATTCGACTTATATATAATGACAGCATCACAACATGCCGTACCACCGCGCCTCATAATCTTGCTGCAACATCATGATTCACCATTCTTGCGACGTTCCCCCCTTTTCTGGGCCTCCTTCCCTATTCATAACCATTAAATCCTTTGTCCAATATGGATTTCTACCAGCAGCCCACAAATTATTTGTTTCTCGATCTTGTTACGCTATTGGGTCGGGAGCAGAAAAATAAGTATTATACGCTACAGCCTCAATAAGTCCTGGGTATTTGATACTAAGTCATAAGAAAAACGTCCAGAAGTCAGAATACAAAATAATGCAGGCTAAGCGCTTACAAAGAGAAATTTAACTATTTATTACTTGTTAAATCTTTCCATCTCTTGTACCAATACTGTATTCATGCTTTCGTTGTAGGTCACTGGAAACCTAGATTCAGCCAATTCCATATTGAACAAAGGGGGCAATTTAGTAAGGATATCAGCTGCGATGTCACATAACTGCGTTTCGGACTTGCTATCCGAACCAGGAGATAGTTGACCCATAGTACGCAATATGGAATCAAATAAGCTTTTAGTTTCCGAGAGTTCACGGGTTATATCAACATTTTCATGCATGCCAAAAACTTCTGGCTGCTGTACAGTTGGGAGTCCCTAAAATAATAACAATGCTTGATTAATGTATAATTTTATAGATATGCTTTGAAATACATTAAATCTGGATAGTAAATTACCTTGATAAAGTCCAAATATTCATTATATTCCATTTTCGGTGGAATATAGTAAACCCCACTGGGAGAAAGTTTATATTTAGGATCCGTTATTGAGGCAATACAAAAGAAATCAGCTAAGATTGTCGAAAGGCAACGCCTATCTTGCTCGTCAGTGACTCGACCACCATAATTACATTCCCCAGTAAGATAGGTAATTGCATCAAAGGGAACCTGCAAAATAAAAGTTAAAATAGTAAGAATCTTACATATCCGTTCACAGATTTTTTAATTCAAATAGTTTTACGGAGAAACGAAGAACAAGAAGTTTTGGCCTATATTTTGGTCGCAGTCTCCTTTCAAAGAATGGTAGTTGTTTAGCCTTGTCTTTACAACTTGGCCATATCCGCAAGAAGACCTAAAGGGGCGCACCTTGTGCGGAGTCCATAGTATGCATGATAATTTCTAGATTAGGATACATTCCCAGAAGTTTCTCTGGCATCGTCAGCAATTCCTGCCATTCTTAAAACTAAACTACAACTCGTCAGAGACAAATGAAGTCAATCCCTTGACCGAATTTCTGTCAAAACGGTTGTGCTATTAATTCTTTTTCTGTCTTGGCTCTTTTATCTTCTTTCTACCCCTTGTCCCATTCTCGCCCTATCACAACTTCCGACCTGTTTATATTGCAATCTTCAAGAAGTGTGTCTTTTGGCGAGTTTACGAAGGCGTCATCGCATCTGCTGTATACCATGGGCGAGCGAAGGTATATATATTAAAATTTTAAATTTAAATATAACACCCATCTCTCCTTAATTTAATACGGACTATTTCTTATATAGAAAAAGACGTATCCGTCTGATTATACCTTTTTAACAGAGCATTCATTATAATTGAGCTAGATCTTGCCTTTAAAAGTTGATTAGAAAAAAAC